TCTTGTCCACATTTTATTTTCGATTTTTTACCCAAAATAATTAATATGCAAACAAAATAAAAATAGATGCAAAAATTAGCAAACGACTAGCAATCGAATGACATATTCGAAATTATTGAAATCGTTAGTTCGACAGCTGGCTTCATACCGGTCCATTCCCCTTCCATGTACTGTAAGTTCTATGATGCAAGGCAAGATGAGTTGTTAGGTTATGCACAAAATAGTGTTCAAAAGAACGTGATTTGAGAATTTGAAGTAATAAATATAATATGATGAGCGAAGTGAGTGATCCGAGTGATCCGAGTGATACCGAGATGTCCGACAAACAAGATGACAAGGATGCAGACTTTAATGTAGATGATTATTCTCATGAAATCGACAGCGATGACTCCTATACTGAATTGCCGGAGAATAACATTAACGTATGTCTAAATGCCTTATTAAATGTTTACTTTAATCTCCCTGCCTTAAATTTTGATAAAAATGTACTGATTCGATTCCATTTTGTATCACATGATACTGTGAAAGAAGGAATTAAGCTGATATTTTTAAAGGTTAGGAAATCTATTGTATGTACCGATGGAATACAGCGATATGAGCACGCGTTACGTGCGAATTAGCACAATATGAAATTTGAAACAATAGAAATAGTGAAATATGCAAATGTAGTGACAGAGAGAAGCATCTCTGGTAGTGAGAAGAATAATCGATTTTGATTCATGGTGAATTTTCTTAAATCTTAAATCTTAAGTCTCATTGTAGACGCCGCTTAACATACACCCTAATGCATTCGTTTTATGCATGATTCTTGTTAACTAATCGGTGAACAACAAGAATAAAATGATACATCATACGCATAATGCATAAAACAGAACGCACCCATAATTAATAACAATTTTTGAATTTGCCATGTATGAGAAGTTGAAAATCATACATCATACATGTGGGCGTATGTTTGTATATCCACATACATATTTATTTAATTCCTCTTTACCTTCAATTTTGATAAAAATATATTATTTGATCATATTTTGTATAAATATATATAATAGTTAAGATTTAAAAAACAAATAAATTTAATAATAAAATAAATTAGAATTTATTAGATACCAAGATCCAACTATAGAAGACGCTCTCTCTTTATTTGTGTTACTCACTTACGCGGTCAAATTAATATTTTGTTTATTATACGTGCCTCTAGCACTCGTTCTCACTCAATACATATACCGGTTATTGCGACAAATATTATTATGCCTCAGTCGAGCTGGTTATTAAGATGCCCACCCTGGAAGTCGGGAAGTCCTAAGGATCAAACCCTGGCTGAGGTAATATTTTTCGCAATAAGTCCTTTGCAATATTTTAAGATGCTTATAAGTATTGAATTAAAAATTGATAATCTCGTTATAAGATGAACTTGGTCTATTCCAACTTCAGCTAATAATTGCGCGTTGCAAGTTCGACATTGATGTGGTGCGCAATTTAAATGGCTGAACAATGGATTTACAAATTTATATAGAATTTATTAAACATCATGATCCAGCCGTGACCATAGAAGACGCTCTCAAATTTATTTGTGTTATAAATTTGTGTTATAAAGTTGTTTATTTATTTATTTCTACTTTTATATGTGTGTGTATTAATATACAGGGTGATTCAAAAGTCTGGATATAGTCGAATATCTTATAAACAATGCAATTTTGAAACAAAAGTTGCAAGGTTTAAAAAAGCACATTAATATCCATTTGACATTGGATGACATTATTATCCAATATATCTTAGAGACAATATTAATATTATAGATGATATTTGAAATTTCATCAATCAATAACTTGAAAAGTACTTTAAAAAATTGAAACTCTTTACTATAATAATAAAAATGTCTTGATGCTACAATAATTGCAATGAAAAAGAAAGGAGTTTTATTTTAGTTGACTTTGACTTGATTTTGGCAACTCTACTCAATATTAAATGACTATTATATATTGTTCATTGCACAAACTTTTAAATCTTACAACTTTTGTCTGAAACTTTTTTCAAAATTGCATTGTTTATAAAATATTCCATTGTATTTTTAGTGCCAGACTTTTGGCGCATCATATATACATGTGAATATAACTGTTACGTGCATATACAATTATACATATAAAGAGTTACAGTGTAAACATTTAGTTACAGTAAAAGCTATTATATATTTTTTATTTGTTTAAACTAATTGTAAGAATTACGTTTTGTCAATTTACTTGTCATTCTATATTCTAATTTTTTTTACAATTCTATGAGTTTATAATTGTATTATTGATTATGTACAGATTATGCATAGAATTTATTTGTCTTATTACAGATAAAAGTAAATAATTCACAAGATGGCAAATATGCAGGCCCAGTAATTTCTGGACACAGAGTCAACAAGAAACTGATATGTATTAAATATCCAGGAAACGTAGTTAATGTCGATAAAGCTATTGAAACGTTGGGTGGCATTAGTTCCATATCTATGGTATAATACTGAATAATGAATACTATATTCATTACTATATTTAATTATATTATCCAACCATATGTTTTATTATTTAACAGACTGTAGATGTTCCTAACAGAAGATTAGAACTGCGGTTCAGACCTGATGATGGTTACAGCAAGCCTACTTGTGGAGACAGACATAGTACAAATGGTTTCTTACTTAGAGTTAGAATAAAGAAGAATAAAGTGACACAAGTCAAAAGTGCTGTCACGGAGCTTATAGAACCAAAATCTATGGATATTACAGACTTGAAAGCTACTTCTTCAAGCATAACTCAGGAAGCTCTTGGTACATCCCATTCAAAAAATGAACAGATTAATACAACATTTGATATTGTAAGAGAAAAGGATAATCACAAAGACAATGTTAGTGTTGATAATATGATTAATCAAGAAGAAGATTATGATGTTAATGAAAAAGCAGCTGTGAAAAAATATACTGCAAATAATGAAAACTTACATGATACATGCATAGAGAAGAGTTCGTCAAAAAGAAAGACAGATATATTTACTTTTGACAATAATAAATATGAAAATATATCTCAAGAGACAGATTACGAAGTACCGCACTTAAAAATATTAGGCAGAATAGAGACTGAATTCAAATTTACCAGTATGTTCTATATAAATTATACTAAAAAAATGTTGTTTCTGTATTAATTTTTCTTATGTTACATATACTAAACGTATTAATGTCTTTCCTCTTTAGATTTATGTGATTTTCAATATGTACCAATGACGCAGAGCAGATCAGATCCAAGAAAATTGGAGTGTATATACGATTTGATTTATCCAACGGGTATTCCACTTTACTCTTGGTTGAAGAACGATGTACCTTACTTTCTACCACCAGCTGTCTTCAGCAGAATGGACACAATACAACAGTATATACCAAAAACTGAAATAGATTCGAACTCAGAGAACGTAATTGGTAAAAACAAAAAATGTCAAGCGGGTTTTCACAATTATATATACTTTTCTACATCCGAAGTACCTGCCGCGGCACCAAAAGGCATCGAAACCGCTATGAAAGTAAAGTTTCTTCAGAACACGCACTTAGAAAAAGTACGTCAACTGTTCGAAGAGCGTCCAATCTGGTCAAAAAATGCCATTATGTATAAGACACAATTTACGTCTGAACAACTGAAGATATTATTACCATCAGTAGCATATTATTTTATGACCGGACCGTGGCGAATTATGTGGGTAAAACTGGGCTATGATCCAAGAAAGGATATTAATGCAAGAAAATATCAGACATTAGATTATAGATTAAAAGCTATGCGTAAGTTATATCATTTTTTTATTGTTACAGATATATGTGTGTGTGTGTGTGTGTGTGTGTGTGTGTGTGTGTGTGTGTGTGTGTGTGTGTGTGTGTGTGTGCAATATATATATATATATATAAAGTACTTCATTTAACATAAAAGATATTTTATAAAATTAATTTTTGTGATTTGTAGATGGATTAGGATCAACTGTCAAGTGTAAAAGAAATTATTCAAATTATACATTGCCGTACAAATCAGCACCTGTTTCTAAACAGAAACCTGCAGTACTAACTGCTACGTTGAATCAAGAACAAAATTTGAAGAAAGAACGACATTTATACGAGAATGTGTATATATACCGAGAAGGTATGGTACCTCCTTCCCGACAAATGTTTTATCAGGTGTGTTAATAGTTTTCTCTGTATGTTATAAAGATAAAATAACATAATAAATATTTAAGACATAAAATATTTGAATAAATTATGTAATTAAACAGTTAAATAGTTGGAAGTAAAACATTCAATCTTCAAATTTGAATAGTTCAAAGAAAGTTAATTGATTTATTCAATTTGATCGTTTTAATATTTTGAATTTTAAGCAAAATTTAAATGATAAAATTTAATTTAAATAATATTTATTAATTGCATTTAACAAAAGTCGACGCTTAGTAAACGATTTTCGCCGATTGAATTATACTTTTAAATCTAGAAGAATATGTAGTCCTATTTCAGCGAACAAAATTTTCAATAGTTCCAAGATAAACATTTTTTTGAATCCGATTGCTGCCAATAAAAAATAATTTTTGTTTTTTTTTATCTGATGTTTAAAACCTTGTATCCGTGATGCTGAAAATCATTCCGAGATCTCAGACAGAGAAAGAATTAACAAATCATATTTGAACAATTCAGCCATTGACTAATCCGATTGGTCAATTCTTTTTCTATCTGTGATCTTGGAGCAATTTCCAACATTGTAATAAAAGGCTTAACAGACAGAATTTCTAATTCGAATATTCGAACTTTCATTCTCGAACAATTTGGAGCAATTCTGGACTGGTTAAAATATAGCCTCGAAATTAATCTAATTCGCCCTGTTCAATTATACTGATTCCACGCGTGAACAACATTATAAATTATTATCTCCGTTTTGTTATTAAGTATTGCGACGTCCTAGTAGGAGAAATACAGGAAATGTTGGCAAAACTTCCTGATCCTTTACCTGGTATAAGATGTCACGAGAAAAGAGGATGGCTGCCAAGTGGCTTTGACGTACAGTGCAGAGAAATTTTAAATAAACAAGTACGAGCTGTTTTGAGAAAAAGGATGAATATTCCTGAGGATCGTACGTATTTCGATTTTAATTTGTTAAAAATAAAATTATTTATTTATTGAGGATAAACTTATATTTTTATTACAGATCCAACATCGCTTCCACGGAAACGGAACCATGGCATTAAATTAAAATATAATAAAATAATTAATAAAAGAACAAAAAAAGATACAACAAATTCTACAGAAATTCAGGCAAATATTCCTTCTACTTCGAAATCAACAATAGAACATGATAGAACAATAGATCATTAATAATGAAAAAGTTGAGTCTCGAATCCAAATGATGAAAATTATAACTATGTAAAAAAAATTTCTGAAATTATATATTTCTGCTAGCTTCATTGAAAATATTAATATATTATATTCTAATACTTAACATTTGTTTACAAAGCATTGGATATAAGAAGTGTTAAGTTTATACATACATATGTAATATATATTAAAATAAATAAAATTATCCTCAACTAATAATCAAAGAATTTCTTCAAGTATTATATGTAGACTTATATACATTGTCTACCCGACTGTACACAGCTGCGCGAATCATAATAAATGAATATCTACATATCGCACTCTTGCTTTAAAAATGACGCAACTTGAAAAACGATGATTTTCGAAAACGATGAGTTATTATTAAAATGATTTGTTTCGAAGGCTTAGACATTTGAACTTTAAAACTTCGATACTTCAATCTTTGAAGAGTCAAAATTATTAATTTAATATAGCTAATAATAATAGTACATGAATATATTTTTCGAAACTTCGAAGTTAATTTGAATCTTCAAAAATAACAATTGTTACCCTAATTGTTACCATAAACAAGTAGTTAGTAAACATTATTCTATCAATCATCAAAAGTGAACTAACTGAACTTCATAAAGATATCAAAATTATCATAATTCAAAAAAGGTAATTTTTTAAAGACTGCGTTCGAAAATAAAAAACAAAGTGAAGAATGACAAAAATGATTTTTTAATGTTTTTAAGAATTTTGCCGATATTATTTGATTAGTAAATTTTCTGTCAAATTGAAAAAGAGTTTTCTCCCCTTTTCTGAGAAATTTAATTTTTTATCATTTTTTAAATCGCGTCCCTTTTGAAACAAGGTGCGATATGATGCATTCAATCTGAGAATTGAAGTGCAAAGGCATACATGGCGTCTGTAAACTTTATCTTCGTCTTATATTAAAAAAAGTAATTTACATAATAACGCTATCTACAGAGTGTTTACTATCTGCAAATTTTTAAGGGATTTCTTTTTTATCCATAAAAATCGAGAATTTTCATGGAATTTTATTAGTATTCAGAGAAATTTTTAGAATTTTATTTAAATTTAAATTCTTTTTTTGAAAACATTGTTTTTTTCATTTTTTTTTTTTTTAATGATGTAAAATGTTGACAATCAATATGCAATAAGTATGGCATACACATTCACGTATATTCATATACATTCTCATGTCGAATTTTTCTTTCAAAAAATCAGAGTGGTTATAGAAGACAATATATAAGAGAGAGATACAGAAGAGAGTAGCTCATTGATACCATATTGTAGTAAGTCTATCCTATAGATTTCTCACGTACCAATTGTAAAAAAGGATAATCTCACGAAATCCCTGTCTTGTACGAATTTATAATATACAATTTGTTTGCACTGCTTGCAATTTATTTCAAAGTTGCAGTTATAAAATTCTCCAATCTTGCTTGAATAAAAATACCTGGAAAATCCAGGAATTCTAATGACATTTTTTTATAGAATTCAGTAAACACCCTGTTGTCTACTTTAGGTACATCATCGCTTTAAACTTCGAAAAAAATGGCCAAGCATAAATTATAATTTGTTTAAACTAAAGATGCGCCAGTACTTCAACAGCAGCTACCGGCGGCGTTTGATCGCCACTGAGAATAACCGGTTCAGATTCAGTTTGGACAATCCTAACGAGATTTGCGTCCTTCTTCGAGGACACTAAAGTAATATTAGGCGCGACATTGGACTCCGCGCAATAACTCGGCGGTCGACTCTCTCTTGCTGTACCAGGAGCCATGATACTTCCCGCATTTGATCTGTAAGTCGGTGGCGGCGACGATGTGGGCTGCAATCGGTCCAATAACAATAATCGAAGTCTATATTCTTGCATACTAGCCTGTAATAATAAAATATACGGTTTACATGTTATATGAATTTTTCAGAAATATAAAAATTATATTTGAAAGCTTGAATCTTTTTTTCCAGAACATTGATTTTGTAACTTTAAGAAAAAGCGAAAGATTTCATGTGAATTTCAAATCCAACAATTGTAACATTTTGAAACTTTTTCGCAAAATTAATGAAAAAACAAACATGTAATAAAATTCAACATATGCATTATTGTTGAAAAGTGAACATATTTTTCTTAATACTGGAATTAAATTAACATTAATTTTTTTTTAATTCAATTTAAAATTAATTTTTTAGGTAAAATCATTTATTTCATTATTTATTTCAACTTTCAAATTATTTGTAATATATATTTTTGTAATTAAGCAAACTAAAATTCCATTCCATTAATAGAAGAATGTAGTTTTGTTGTGTATTTAGCTTCTAAGATAGAATTCACCAAAAGCCTTTCTCTCTGTATCTTAATTACTTATAATTCGAAAATTATTGATCAAATTAGATAATAAATTTACTTTTAAATCAATTATGGAAGTAATTATTTAATATGACCAAATAAACTTTTAATAAAATGTTCACTTAATGAAATTTTCTTTCAGTATATACTTGATAACTTGGTGGCGGCGTTCTAAATTGAAATTCCGGATAGATCATAGCAGCATACGGATGTATTGGTCTCGCAGGTGGTATTCTACTAGAAATGCTTGTGAATCCAAATAAACTGCCACAATAATCTTGATTAGTTAGTCGCCACGCCACTGCACTCACCAATACCAGAAGCACTCCTATACCTGTAATAAAAAATGCATTCTGTAATTACAATACAAATAAAGCGATTTATAATTTTCATTTATCAGTCTATAATGGTTTAAATAACTAAGACGTAAACTGCTTTTTGCGTAAAAATAGAAAAAAAACGGGCAAACAAATTTCAATGGACTATTATCCCTTTAGCCAGAAGACAGCGGCATCTATCCGTTTGTCTATTCATTCCTCCATTTGTTCCTCGAGTCATTATTCCCTCGATCTCACGGTTTTTGCGTGTGTGAGTGTACAACATCAATCTCTGTAAGTAGCGTTCCCTCAGTGTGAGAAGCATTCTGAACGGGTCGCAGCTTACATGCCCACGTTTAGAAAGTAACTGTTGCGAGCTCGAGTTTCCCTATTCTCTCCTCTCTCTTTCTCGATCTTGCTCCATGCCACGTGCAGTTGATCGCTATGACAATCTGCACGTTACGTCTGCCTATTCTTTAGCAGTTTCTGATTACGGATTTCAAGAGTTTATCATAATTCCGTAATTAAAAAAGAATTAGTATTTTCCCGCGAATAAATAAAGTATTTATATTTCTTTTCCACAGCTCTTTCTCTATATAGTACGGTCCATAAGTTTTAAGACAAAAATCATATAAAATAAAGAATACGTCAGAAAAATATTTTAAACATTTTTTTATTTAAAATAGGATCCTTTCTATAACCAATGTGACCACCAACCAACATGAAGAAAATTACAAAACAAAAATATTAAATAGCGATATAAAGATTAAAAATAACAGTCGAGCAGTGTATTGATTATCTATAAAAAATCTTATTTTGAATAAAAAAAATAAACAAAATATTTTTTTGATATTTTTCTTTACTTTATATGATTTTCGTCTCAAGTTATTTGAATCAAAAATTATTCGAAATTCAGAAGAAATCGCCGAATCAGATTACGAATGGAACAAGAATTGATCCAAAAATATGTATACATACTTATAAGTATACATACTTATTTTTGGGCAAAAAATCAAAATCACCGTTAAAACATTTTTCAAAGATAAAACTTTAAAAAAGCTGTTTGTAAAATCTCTTCATGTCATGAAATATATGTTGGATTTTTACATCATTCTAACCACGTTGATTGATTGTGACACTTGCTGTATCAACGATGGACAAGTAAAAGAAAATATATATTTCAAAATATAAAAAGTCTTTCTCCAGTATGAAACATAAAGTCTTTTTATATACTCTTTCCAAAATAAAATTACTTTCAAGGTTCAATTGCTAAGCTACCTTATTATTATAACATTAACGATGATATTAAGGAAAGTGCATTTATTTACCGGACATAAATATTCCTAAAAGATGATCACGACCAGAAGCTTTGAGAGCGCCAAGGAGAGTGCCTGCACCGGCGCAGACTAGACCTACAAAGCCGACACCCAATATAGACCAGCGTACTGGCGGGGAACCCAAACCGCAACACTGTTTTGGTACCGTGTCCCTGCAATGCAAAAGATAAGAGATACATGTTCGTTGAATAACCCAGTGACATATACTCGTGACAAGTTATATGACGCGATCGCCATACGTATATAATTATTACATCATATAGCGCTAACCATAAGGCTATATAGTACATTATATAGATCACGGATTATTTTAAATAATATGCACATTGATCATAAGATTCAAACGAAAAATCCGAGCAAATTATATGTGATCAAATTATTTCAACAGTTTCAAGTAGAAATATTCATGCTATAAATTTGAATAATTCGAGATCGATCTGTTCGGTCAAACTGATTGAACTAGAGTCAAATAGTTCAGACACTCAAGGAAAAAATTCGAATAAAAATAATAATCATTACAAACAAACAATAATAATTTTAGGTCATTCTTGGAATTGAAGTTGTTCAAGTTGTTTAATTAAATAAAAATTACGAGAATTATATCATCTAAATCATACTCGTACTATGATTTACTAAAGTAGTTCATACATTTTGAGAAGCACGCGAGGATTCATGTTTTTTCTTACTCAATTTAACTTGCTAAATCCAAAAATCTTAAAGTTGTCCTAGTATCCGGAAAATATCCATGTCTACGAATTTTTCTTTGTTTTTATAACAAATGATTTTTTTGAAAATTAATTTTATCATTTGTCCCCCTTTAGACTATAACTTTTACTTGAAACATTTTTTCGCGTCTTTTATACTTTTCGATGCAAAAGTTAAAATGTATGTACATAACTTAAGATAACTTAAGATTCTCAAGTCCTGATGAGAAAGAATGAGAGCTTAGGTGACATGGAAACATTTTTTTATAAAAACAAAGATAAATTCGCAGACATGGTTCAACAAAGTGATAAAATCAACTGCTGCTTTTCTCTGTTTAAAACGTGAAAAAATTATTTTCCGGAACTAAGAAGATTTTAATTACGATTTTTTAATTCAGCAAGTGAAATTGAGTAAGAAAAAAGGTGAACCTAATGTTCTCCGCATGCTTCCCAAATCGCCTAAAATGCATGAACTCCCTTTGTGTTCACTAAGTATTTTTATGTAGAAACGACGTGTAACGTGTTAATAACATCCAGATAACTATGCATCAACACTATTGATAAAAATATTCAAAGCTATATTTCTATTAGGAATTTTTCTAATTTAATATTTAATATAATTTAATATTTCATGACATGTTGTTTATATTATGATTTTTTATTAAATATATTATTTTGTAATCTAACATTTAATATATCCACAATATGCAATACACATGTGACAAATGATCATGTCAAACAATCTATTTGTTCACTATATTGAATGTTGGATGAAATTTTGTTTAAATCAAAACTTACGCTACAATAATTATCTTTCAGATGTTTATTTCTTAAAAATACATGCAATGCTTTTTGAATGATTATTTTACATTTATGTCTATTTTAATAATTTTATAACCTAATACCAACCAAAATTTAATTGAATATTGGTACGTAAATATTGGCATTTTGTAATGCGTATGACAAAATCAGTCGAATTTTTTGTTCGTTTATAATTATTTGCAGGGTAGAAAAAAATAGTTTTGTGTTTAAAAATGTTTTGTGTAAAATAGTTTAAAATAGTAATAAAATAAATTTTATATTTTTTATGTTTAACTTCCAATATACACTATTATAACATTGTTTGATTTCTCTAACATGATAAATTTTATTTTATTACAATAGCATTCTTATACACTTAACCATTTTGGATTTTCCATTTGCCTTGTTTTTTTCTCACTTGAGTTTTTCAATAATTAATACTGAAAAATTAAGAACGACTAATTTATAATCCCAACTGGACTCAAGAATGAGGCTGGCAATTTGCTTCAAAAGCTTCAATATCGAAATCTTCGAAGTTTTAAAATATCGAAGTTTCGATACTTCATCTTCAAAAAATCAAAAATTATGTAATTATAATTTAATATATAGTTTATAGTAATAATACTATAAAAATTTTGTTTTAAAGGTGTTTAAGGCTTTGAAGGTGTTTTAAACTTTGAAAATTCGGAATTAATTTCGGAGATTCGAATTCTTTCGAAACTTTAAATCTTTGAAAGTATCAAAAATTCAAGTCAAAAGTAAATCCTATCTGAGAGATTGAGAGAAATTTTGATAAAGATAATTCGAAATAAAACCGAAATTTTTGTGGTTTAAATTAATTATCACATAATTAATTTAAATATATAATACGCACTAAATAGCATGTCGAATTCTTATTAACCGACTTTAATTATCAATTTTATTAGCAATAAAATAGTAATTTATCTAAAATATGCATAAATTGTGGATAATTAAATTCACACATATGTATACCTATTTAAAAACTTACTTAAGGTTATTCTTGACAAAAATTATAATTTTTTCATTTGTTTGTAATTTTTTTGCAGGGTGAACAAAAAGCACTTATATGGACAAATTGTGATTAACATTGTTAAACAAAAAATTACACATGAACAAAAATAATTATTTTTCATAGTTTCTTTGGCGAAAAATATGATTTTGTTTACTAAACCCATGTTCCGTTATACACTAAAAATCTATAGTTACGTCACATACCTATATGTATAAATCTTTCTATAAATTATTATATCACGTCACAATGTGAAAAAGAAGGGGTTGCGATTTGGGCCATTTTTGGCTCCCCTCTGAATTCAAATGAAACTAGACGGAAAATTTACCTCCATACATCTCATAATTCCTGTGTCATAATTCCTTAAAAGGATATAATCCTAAATTTCATCATTTATGAATTATTACATTTTGAATTTGAGCGATTTACAGGAGATTTGGCACTTTTAAATAATTGAGGTTTCTTTTAACAATGTTCCTGAAATTGCCACTTCACCAAACTTTCTCAAAAACTTGCCTAGGGTATCACCTAGAATATAGAGATCAAGAGATGAAAGCGATGCAAGTGTGCGTACACTGTCATCCAGCGCGTTGAATTCACGATGCGCTACTTTCACACGCATCTTTAGTAGTTCAAGACCTTTTAAAGAGCTTGCAGATTCGAATTAACGATCATTTTATGATTCAAAATAGATAAGTAAATAAGAAAAAAAATAATGATTCTATTAGTTTTAAAATATTAATTCTATAGATCGACTTATTAGAAAAGGAAGAGAAAAAAGTGGTGTTTTACTTTGTGTGCTATAACATTTTTATTAATAATAAAGATATACATAAATTTATTTGTTATATTCATTAATGTCTATTTCGATTTAAAAAGAAATTACTAAATATGATACGTTCATTTTTACACAAATGTGTTATTCTCATGATAAAACATATAGTGTGACATCAAAGGGTTATACTATAAGGGTTAATCAAACGTACAGTGTGGCATCAAAGGATTAATTATATTATTCAAACTTAAAGGTTTTTCATCACTAATTTGATATCACAATTCAAATCACTATTTTGATAAATTCAAAATATCGGAATCAATATAACAAATATCAAAATTTAAAAATGTGTTCGAATTTTCCATATAATTTAAATTTAAATTATATTGATTAACTTTAACATCAGATTAGTATTCAGCGACATCCTTTGGTATATATTAAATTTAAAAATCATTTGATAGATCCTTAATGACTTATAAACTATAAATTGCAACTTTGATGCACTAGAATATTAATTTTAATCATATCTCATCATAATTAATATCTCTCTAATTATAATTAACACAACAAATTTCTCTTAAATCTCAATAATAAACTTAATTTTGATTGCAAAAAAATGTCCTGAACATGTTATATATCGTAGTTATACTAGTTACAGTATGCTACAATGTGTTTGTGCGTGTGCGTGCGCATTAAAATAGATAAATCTTTTTGCAACTTTAACTGCAAATTTCCCGAAATTGTGACGTGATAAAGTAAAGTTTGATAAACAGAATCATATTCATTGCCCAAGAAATTATTACGTCGGGAAACGATTATCATTTTTATGCTTGAAAAAGTTATTTTTTGTTGAACACTAATATATGATCATTGATCAAGTTATACAAATTTCATAAAAATGAGCATTTCAGAGGCACATCTTAAGAAAAACTCGATAAAAATATTGAGACTTACCTGCCGAAGGCGGACACGCTAGTAGGTACAGGGAAGGGCAAACCGAGGCTGAGACCTCTGAGATTCAAGTGCGGGGGCGGAGGGTGAAGGAAACCTCTAGCGGGTGGCACTAGTGGCACTCCTGGTGCGGTTGAAGCTGTCTGGCAACCTGGTGTGGCGGCGGGATACGTCGGTATGGAGCAGGATCTCAGAGCACGACGATGCTGTCTGCGTATCCGTCGTTCTCGTCTACGCGCGTCTCGGATGCCGTTGGAAACTTCCTCGATCTGGTTCGCCGTGGTCGGCCCGTTCTGGAGGGCCAACTCTGTCTGCGCCTCTGTCGAAGTGAAGGACCGAGCATTGTCTCGTGCTTCCTAAAACATAAACAAGCTATGGATTTGAGCAATTCGATTCGATCTAACTGTGATTTTTTATTGCAAATTGTCAACTTGTTGTTGTCAGATTTTAATATACATAAGTAAGTACAATATATTTGTGTGAAGTATACGACAAACTCCGCGTAAAACATACAGCATATGACAATTTTTTTATTATTAAAATTTTCTTTTTTTTATATATCTAATGAAAGATAAGACATGTGTAGAAAATTAATTTTAATATTCTTGTCTAAGTTTAGATACAACCTGTGAAAAATGCATTTTCATTAAAATGAACAATAAGTTCGTGATTTTAGTGTATGTTTAGTTATATAAATAGAGTCAGCGTAAAAACTTTCATCTGTTAGATTATTAAAACATTCAATAAAACAATGTACGCGCACGCGTATATATGTGTGTGCAATTGAAAACAATACGCATTAACTATCCTAATATATCACTCTAAAATAGATATTTTTCAGTCCATAAGTTTTTTATTGTACAAACTATACCTTACTGTAGAAAAAAATATAATAAAAAAATATATGAAACTTTTATTTCATATAGAAAAATTAAAACTATACAATTTGAATAAAGAATTACAATAGTATATACATAAAATATTTTTAATTTAACAGATTAATATTCAAATAAAAATCTTACTATAAGTTTATTAAAATATTCATTAAAATTGCAGTAAAAATAAAAAACAAAAAAATCTTTATTTTATTAATTTATTATATGATTTTAGTTAATCAGGGTTATTGCTTGTTTTTAAAATATAATTTTTGCATGTGTGAATATATGAATTTTCCTATCAACTATCAAATAAGCATTCAGTACTTTTAATATTCCTTAATCAAAGATATTGTGTATCAACGTGATATATGTAAATTGTATTATTTTTATAATAATTTAAATTTTTCAATTACTTCACATAGCGATTTCGATATTATCGCTCACAATTTACGTTTTTCAAAATTATAAAATCAACGTAAAAAATAAAATAAAATCAAAAACACAATAATAATAAAATATAAACAACACATATACAAGCATATACAAACATGCCAATTTTATTTCCAAAATGATGTTTGCGATCAACAATTCAATAATTCCATGAATTAAGTTCCATAAAAGGAATATAATCTTGTATTTCCTTGCGTCCTTTGTAACATTTACGTGGTTAGTTTAAGATTTCTTTTCTAAAGATGTATTTAGAAACAGAGGAAGTGAAATGCGCTAACTCGCATATATTGTATTCAAGAGTTATAATAATATAAAGCAATGTATCTCGTGTGTTCTGTATTGTACGTATCCATCAAAGAATTAAGGCTCACAATCAAACGAAATGTTTAAATAAATTATATGATTAAACTGTTCAGAGTTTAAAGAAATATTTAAACGTTAATTCGAACAATTCAAACGGAAGTAATGATCTATTTTGATTGATATAATTCAGTGAGAGAATAATAGATTGTTGAAATAGTCCAATATTAAAGAAAATTTCAGAAAAAAATCATATCTATAGAAAATAAACAGTTTTTCAATTTGTTTCATCTCAGATCTAAGATCAGATCTAACAGATTGAACAGCGATAATTTAAAAAATTAACTTAAAACATATTAATTTTTTTTTTAATTATTTTTCTATAAATGTTACAGATAATACTAAAATAATAAAATTTCATATTTCTCGTACTTTTTTCAACAAAAATAAAACAATTGATCTTTTTTGTATAATTTTACTATTATTCACAAAAATGAAACATTTTTTATGCGTCTATTTATTTATTTATTTATTTTTTTGTTTTAATAGAAAAAAAATAAACCGTATTATTAATGTAAAAAAAATGAAAAAAGCAAATAAGTAAATTATTCTAATCTATGTTAATTGTAAGTAATAAATAATTCTTTGAATATATAAATAATTTGAATATATAAATTTTAAACAACTAAAAATATAATATTAAGGAAGAGAAAGTGCAGTTCCGAAATTATAGAACATAATTACCTGTCTTCGTGTGATTCTTTTCATTACTAATAATGAATTAACATATTTAAATCATTCTTTTTTTTATTCTTTTTTTTATATAATTGGCTACATTTTAATCCATGCCTTCTCTAAATAAGCTTTTTCTATATTTTAATTAAAAATTGAAAAAGATCAGATTTTTTCTTGCAATTTTGATTATTCGTAACTTTTGATAATATCATAAGTTTTTAAAACTGAATGATCACAGTTAAACATAGTAAAAAAAATTATAAAATATTGATTTCACGGGAAAAAATACATACGAGCAAAAAAATCATAATTTTGAAGGATTTTTTTATTTCAAGGATTTTAACTATTTGATGCGCGCGCGAGAATTAGTGATGAGAAGAAGAATAGAATTCTTCATAGAATATTATGATTCTAAGCTCAAAACTATACAAGAATTATTTTATAACTAATGGAACCGTAGAATTGTAGAACGTATTTAACTTCTTCGTCTCGATATATAAATAAAAGCGTTAGCTCTGATCCTTTCAAATTTATATATTTTTATGCAAAAATATTTTTTTGCAAAAAAATCAGAATTCTTTCTAGAACTCATATAAAACTAGAAATCTATGAAATTTGATAAAAATTATTAAATAAACTTCTATGAGACAAAGTGAAACATATGTAAACGTGGCGTTTCAGTCCATTCTGAAGCAATAACTTATTTAAGAGGCGGAACTATTTGTTTAATTTATAAAAGATTATAGAACTATTTAAAATTAGAATTCTCAATAATTAATGAGTTTTTGCATAACGGCACGTCAGCTCCTTACATAATATACATTTCCTGTAATAATTTCTTGTTTTTTGTTTGTCTATTTCTATTTATATTATAAATCAAAGCTACGAGTAAAGGATTTAATATCACAATATATCGATATGAAAAGTTGAAGAAGATTGTTTTGAAAAATAAAATAAACTTAAAGTACTGTTTATACTCATGTTTCATATTTCATTGCGTCATTGATCTTTTCAAGTTTTCAATAATATTTTCATCAGTTTGTACGGACTATTTATCATTTTTATTCACATCTAATATTTATTAACATTTTATAGCCACAATAGCTTAGTTTAGACTTATAAAGTACATTTTATCGTTCTGTTTTATTTTTTCTTCTAATATGTTTTATTTTTAGCATAAGCTTTCGTAAATAAATTGGAAAGAATATTGGGAATATAAACAATATGATTTAATTATAATTATAAAATTAGAAATCTCATTTGGCATTAAATTTGCGTGATCTCAGACGTATTGTACTGATTCTCGCAAGGATAACATATACATGTCTAATCTCTTTTTCTAGGAACTTAAATTCAAAAATCATGTTTATATGAGAAAGATCCCCGGATTTTTTTAAACTTTAATAGTAAAAATGCGTTCGGGGAGATGCTGTTAGTGCTATATGTGTCATTCTATCTTTATCACTTATTAGTATGTAAAACAAGGAATGACAAACAGCATCTCCCCGAACGCAGCCTAAGTATGTTCTATGACCTAAAGAGAAAAATGTTATATAAACATAGGTCCTAAAATGTTTATAGCAAAAATATGAAATCTGCAAGAAACAATTTTCCACCTTTTTGCCATTAATTTACATTTCAAAATGCTGTGCACATGTTAATACAAGCTTCAATGTAATATTGAATCTTTAGTGCCGAGCCGCCCGAGCCACGACCGTGTCTCCTGATTATCACTAACAACTGGATCTACAATGTGCTCTGTGCATTCTTGCTTTTTACCACTTTTTACCACCCATGCTTTTTTGCCTCTTATATTCTGATCCTTTATTTTCATCCAGAATAAATGTTGATGAACTTTGGAAGAGACAGGAAACACATGACAAGAAACACGATTGTTAATAAAACGGTCTCAAAAAAGGAAAAAGTCAAGAGGTAAAAAGCAAAAACCAGGAAGCAAAGAGCACATTGTAGATCCAGTCTAGTAAAAAAATAAGGCTACATTTATGAAAAACGACGTTTTCAATTCTTGTAACAATAATGTATAATTATATATGAAAATCCACATGCTATTTGAAAAACCGTTTTTCAACGTCAGTTCAATTGTAGTGTTATAGATAAGCATGTGTAAACTCAGGTGAAAAATTGTTTCTTGTAAATTTTATATTTTTGCTATAATATATATTATTTAATAAAGTATTTTAGGACCTACATTTATATAACATTCTTTTTTCTAGTTTTATAGAACAAATGTACTGTTAAAGTTTGTACAGAAATATGCATGGCTCGAAATGTGCAAAATTATAATATGCAATTATAAATACACAAGAAATTTTTTTTAAACAAACCCTGTTTAAAAGATCCAATAGAATTAAATAAGAAAAAACCTATACAATTCTATGATATTTTTGGTTCGTAAATATCAGATTTATATATTTTTTTCTCTATTTAGTATGTAATTTAAATGTCACTTTAAGTAATGTTTATCTTTGACCATAATTTAATCAAAATTGATATTGTATATCGTACAATGTTTTTAGTTTATCTATGATTTATTATGCAAGATTTTAATTTTAGAGATTTTGTGTCTTTTACATATAAATAATTTTAATATTTTTTACAAGTATAATAAATTAAGTAACAAATTATAATTTTCATTTTAGATTAGATAACTCGTTAAGTTATATAAAAAAACACACGTTCAAATTTGTATTTAAGTGTATTTAATGTTTAAGTAAGATATACTATATTAACCCGTAAAGGCTACGTCTCTTTTGAATGATTTTGTTTAACACAAAGTTTTGAAAACAATTACATTCTTTTTTCGAAAATTTAATATTACCAATTGATTGGTCAGAAAATTTTACATTGAGAAACACATTTTGCTTTAATTTTGTTTTTTATTTTCAGAAGATATAAAGCTTAAAAACGCTTGGTGCGAATTCGCACCCAGGTGTCCTTTACGGGTTAAGAAACGATAGAAATAGATAACTTCTTTATAATAGCTCAAATGTGAGTCCGATAGAAACGATAATTTCACTATAAAATTAGATAAAATTTTAATCTTTAAATCTATTTCTATCATTATCTATCTGATCTTTTAAGCAGAGAATTTGATATTATTGACTTTCAATCCTCTCTTCTAAAAATTTCTATCATTTGACCGGTTTACGCGCATGACACATCAGAAGAAGAAATGAAACGGTACCTGCATTTGGTTTGCGTTGCTCCTTACATTATCCACAGCGGCACCATCGACGGCAACGACGCTCACGGGTCTCGGGTCGGACGGGGCCTCGGCCATTATACGATCCTGAGCATTAGTCTCCGCAGTTGCCACTATGCAAGAAACCTCTTCGTTTCACAATATGATCTTCTCGCCTGGATTTTCTTTCTTGCTCCCTTTCGAAACGCGTTTTTCGTCCTCTTATTCCTCTTCAAACACTTCCGGTATTTTTAATATATTTTTACTCGGCTTCCTCCTCTCTTATTATCCATCCATCTCGCGTTTAATCTCGTGTTTTGTCATGATACGATTCGACACGAAACGGTTCTCTTTCACTCGCTCGATTTTAGTTCCCCTTTTTTCCCGTTCAAAGAGTCACAAACGTACGACGCTTGACTCGGTAACATTGATATTCGAGTGTGAAAGGTCGCCTGCGACATTCCTTTCTCTTTTCTCTTTCTTTTATCTTCTTCCCTTTCTTCCCGCTTCCTTCTCACAACGTACGACACAAGGTGCACAACTCGAAAACGTAACGACGAGTATGGCAATTTTCCGTGAAATGAATATATGAACACAATGGTAACGCACTCAACACAACACCCGTTATCGTCTATTGAACCATACGGCAAACCGGTCCGTCACGAAACTAGATCCTTTCTCCGCGCCGAATATCACTGTGCGTGTTAACGCACTCTTAACACAGCCTCCGGTTCCACAGTATTCCGCTAACTCGCCTGGGAGCGGCATCGTGTAAGGATAACGTGCTAGTTCTTGCCATCACGGAGTAAATCTCTCGTAATGTAACCGCGCACACGTTCCTTCCTAGCTGATCACTTGTTTCATCCACCACGATGATGATTCCGCACTATCTATAAAAATGTAAACTCTCTGTCATTATCTTGCGCGACACACAGCCTTTAATATCATAATTTACGTGTGCACGACATAAGAACACCGTAGAAATTTCTATGTCCTTTCAGACAGAGATGTTTCATTTTACTAATTTTACTAATTGTGATTCGTTTGTGGCGAAACCCACATAAAAGAAAATAATATCTCGAGCGCTCGAGTTAATCTTCTTCAAGTTATTGCTTCATTGGTTTGTATATTCTACTGGCAATTGTAAAAAAAAATTGCAACATGAGAAAGATTATTTCGTATTTTATCCTATGTCCTGCATATATTTAAAAAGATATTGCATACTGTTTAAAAAATAATGTTTGTCACTATGCTTTCTTTCTTCGCGAATATTCTATACTGAAATTCTATACTGAATATAAGTAATAATATATTAATATTATAAAGTTAATATACATATAATATGTTAATATACAATATAACTTACGTAGTATAATTACGTAGTAAGTTATTAACTCTTTTTATTTACCGTATCATTCATACTATCTTGTAACTGTAAAATTTGGAAGCTATATATTTTGTAATTGACCAACACTAAACACATCTTAATTTAAAAAAACGAACCTTCTCTATTTTTTTAAGTGTCAAACTTATATAAACTATATAAAACTTTTGAACTAAACATTATATAATACAATGGCATACATCATTATTGCGCGATCTGCGCGGATATTATTCTAATTCAAAAGATTTAAAAACAAAAATTATATATCATTACGACGCTAGGTAAAAGATAATTTTCAATACAATATTTCTACGTGAAAAATTTGTAATATTAAAAACATAAAACATTTTCTCAGACAAGAAAGCTGTTTTGAAGAAAAAAATTTATAAAAAGTTTTAATATATTATTTTCAACAACGAAAAATAGTTAAAATAGCACGAAAATTATTTGCAAAATATCAAGATTATTTTTACTTTAGATAAATTGTATTTTATTCATATTTAAACATACATCCATTTAGCACAGTCGGGAAAATTATAGCACCTACGGACATCTTTTATTTTAATGTTTAGGATTTTTAAAATTATTTCCTTTTTAATTTTAAATGTTGCTCATACATAATAAATATTTATGTAATTTAAGTAAAAATTTACAGTTTTCAAAATAATATTTTAATTTTTGTTTTTAAGAATTTTTTCCGTTCATAAATTATCTCTAAGTACAAAGGATAATTGTATAATCTATAGGAACAATGATTGTTGTATGTGAGAATGCACAAAATAAAATGCAAATTTAAATAAAGAAACAACTTTAAGATGATGCTGGAAGGTAGAAATTATCGACATTTGCATTCTAATGGATAACTCCGAAACGGTTGAACGGATTTGAAAACGCTTTTACAGGATTGAAATAAAGATAAAATGTAAGCGCACGAACTATAAATTTGTAGTAAAAACGAAAA